AGTCTTGTGCATCTTATCAATGAAGTCTTGGGGGTCCTCCTCGAGATTAGTACCCGTAAACATTGGAGGATCTAACTTAAGAAACTTACTCACCCTGGAACTAGCAGATTCCCTTGGCTGACTGGAAGAAGTAGGCCCAACACTCGATCCCTGGGCCTGAGAAGCCATTATTTGTGCCAACATGTGTATGTCTCCCCTAAGATCAACATCAGAAACACCAGAATCAGAAGATGGAGGGGGAACTGGAATATCAGTTGGAGGGACCGTTGAACCTTCAGTAGGTGTAGGGATAGGTGTGATCTGATCAGCTGTGGTAGAATCAGGCAATGTAGTAACTGGGGGAATATCCTCACCCCTTGGGTGCTCACCCGCATCATCAAATATAGGATCAACTGCCACTCCCGGGGTGGCATTGGCTCTTTGGCCAGTTCTTGCCTTCTTCTTAGGTGCCATGTACTGAAAATTAGAGCAACACACGAGTTAAAGGGGGAACAATCTTACAATCAGCTTTATCGCACGATCGATAACATGAAAGAAGGGTATTATTCCTAAATGCCCAAGTAGCATCCTAATTATAGATGTGGTCGACAACACACCAATAAGGAGAACTCTACTAGACATGGCTCTGAGACATCCTAGGACACTTTAAAACCTTAGGCTCTGATACCAAGTTTGTCACGCCCCAAAACTGAGGAGCGCGACCGGCGCTCAACAGAGTGAACCCGGCCGAGCAAGCCTATTAGATTTCCTTCTACCCAACTCATTCATGAATAAAGAGAATATATTTTTTTATTATTCAAACAATAAAGTGATCATGTTTGAAATACCAATTCATTACCATTAGTTACTCCATTAATAAGTCTCAAAACACACACACACACCCTCATGGTTCAAAGTGGAACAAGTGATTTAATCACAACACAACTTGTTCAACATTCCCAGCACCCATACATAACCCACACTTAGTCTAGGGAGCCTCTAAAAATACCAAAGAGTACAATGATAGTGATGGCAATAAGGCTCCGGCTATACTTCAAAAAACATAAGAAACAAAAGATGCACAACCCCAAAATGCGATGGGGCTCACCAAGTCAGCTGGGAAGAATGAGCACTACTATCACTGGTCAGTATCCTCCGCTGTGGAACCACCTGCATCTATTAATGATGAAGTGCCCCCAGCAAAAAGGACATAGTACATGTCGAATAGTACTAGTATGAAAACCAAACACCAATTTAAGAACTCGGAAATACAATATGAATATAATGAATCAAGGCGACAATAGAATAGCATAGATAGTCGTTTAAACCAAAGCAAGACTATCAAGAGCTGTCATTTATAGAATTCAAGATGAGATCCTCTGTAACTATTTCCACACGAAGCGGCCCCGCCGTCTCACCCCAATGTATGCGGGTGGAGGTGTAAACACAATACCAAAACTCTACTCTAGCGGCCCTGTCGCCTCACCCCAATGTATGCGGGTGGAGGTGTAAACACAATACCCATTTTCACNGCCCTGCCGCCTCACCCCCAATATATGTGGGTGGAGGTGTAACCCCAATCACAATCTCTATACAATTTGGCAAGATAGTGTTTTACATAAATTGCGACTTGGAATCATAACACGTAGATACACAATCCATAGTTTGGAACACATCCTCAATTTATAATACAATATCATGAGAGCATTTGAAACACGAATTAAACATATATCTTTATCACAAAACTTATTCAGAATACTCAACCTGTAATAAATATCTTGGAACTTACAAGGATATTGGGGTTCCAATTCTTAAAGAAGAGTTTATCCAACATACCTCAATTTAGTTTCCTTAAACTCTAAAATGTTCCAGAATTCTTAGAAACTTTAATCTATTTTGAAAATATAACAAATTGAACCAAAAATTAGGAGGATGATCATGATTCTAGCTCATTTGAACATTTTATCAAACACTAGGTGTGCATTAAGGTTTCAAGGTCCTTTTATGGAGGATTCCATCATTCCCCAACCCATTCTCTACCATTTTTAGCTCACAACCTTTCCATGAAAGATAACAACCCCCACACCCAATAATTATCTTGCTAATTACTCTCCTTTTAGAAGATTTTGAAATTAAGAGCTATGGCATAGATTCTTACCTGTAGGATGTAGACTCCCTTTGTTAATCCTCAATGATTGAGAAAGAATTGGTGGATAATAGGTTAAAGGTTACTCCCCCACTCTAAGAACTCTCTCTCACTCTAAAAATATCAGAAATGTGCTCAAAACGGACTATGGAATATGTTTTAATGAAGAAGGGTCGAGTTTAAAAATCCCAAAAATGAAGCCCCGGAACAGGATATGCGATCGCATAATGGATATGTGATCCGCATATCGGCCGCACAAATTGGGTGACAAAATTGGAAAGGAACTGACCGGGTCTACGGTCACTATGCGGCCCGCAGACCTGTTCTGCGGTCGCATAATACGCCGCAGAATCTCCCTCCGCAAAACTTCAAGACTGATTGTGCGACAAGAGTGTGGCCCGCGAAATGTTATGCGGTCGCATAATGGACAGGAAAAATGACATCAAAATGACCCAAAAAACTGACTCACTCTGCGACCATTCTGCGGCCCGCAGAGTGGTTATGCAGCCACAGAATAGGCCATATAAACGCCTATTTCTGCCAAATATTTTCCATCAACTCTCCAGCGCACTGTTTAATCCAAAAAGTCCAAACCGCGGCTCGCAATATCACCGCGAAGAATTTCTACTCTTATTAACCTCTACACCTGCCCCGGCATCACAGAACCCCGGTTTTTAGGAAAACTTTCACGGGGCCTTACACCTTGATAGAAAGTTATGGAGGCCAAGCATTAGGGTTGTAGGTTAGGTGGTAGGAGGCTAGTCTGATAGTGTTTTGTCTTACGTTACTAGTGGCTCCAGTTGTGTCCATATTACTTAATTAGGGTTGCAAGTTAGGTTGTTAGAGGCTAATCTGATAGTATTTTGTCTTAGGTTGCTAGGATTTTTACTCTATTGTGTATGTAGTATTGTGCCATTGATACTATTTAATTTTATTTCTTTTCTTTCTATTTTGTGATTATTACGTTGTTGGTGTTATCTTTCTGGCTTCCCTTGTTGTTACTTCTATACTGTCTCATTTCATCTTCTTGAGCCGAGGGTCTATCGTAAACAGCTTCTCTACTCCTCAGGAGTAGGGGTAAGGTGTGCGTACATACTACCCTCCCCAGATCCCACTTATGGGATTTTACTGAGTTGTTGTTGTTGTTATTTATGTACATGTATACTTTTATATATGCTTTTTGTGTGATATGGATCGGATTGTTAGCATGTGAGTGGTACGTGCAGATCTGAGGTATTATTGGAACGTGAGTTGTCCGTGTTGTTTTTATTATTGGCATGTGAATTGTTCGTGTGGATGATATTATTGGCACGTGAGTTATCCGTGAAGCGTGTGGATAAGAATACATACCCCTAGGGTCACCCTCTCATGTTTCTCTCTTGATGGTGTACACGCAGGTTGTGAAAAATCAACGGGTTTCTAGTTAATGTGGATATCACTTATATCAGTCCATGAGTATGTAAATTGCTATCCATTGTTTATGTACATGTATTCTTGTATATAATCTTTTTGTGTGATATGGACTCGATTGACAACACGTGAGTGGTCCATGCGGATCCGAGTTATTATTGGCACATGAGTTGTCCGTGCGGTTGCTACTATTGGTACGTGAGTTATCCATGTTGTTGCTATTATTTACACGTGAGTTTTCCCTTCATCGTGTGGATAAGAATTCATCCCCCTAGGGACACACAGGTTGTGAGAAACCTATGGGCTTCTGGTTGATGTGGGCTTTGGTAAAGTTGATCATTGATTGAACTTTGCATCTCTTCTCCATTTGCAAATTTCTTGGATATACACATGATTTTACCGCATCTCTTCTCTATTTTCTAGCTCTAGAATGTAAACATTACTTTATATATATCTTCTATATATGCTACCTTACTTGATGAGATGAGACACAGTAAATATCTTCTATATATGTGAATCTGTGTGACTTGATTTGCTTAATCATGCATATATTCTCTATATGCAATTGTTGAAGGATTAATTGATGTTCATGCATATTTTCTCTATATGCAACTGATGAAAGATTGTCTAGTATTTCACACATATCTTCTCTATATGCAAGTTTGATGATTTAATGATACTGGACGCATATCTTCTTTTTATTCCGGATTGTTGACTGAATTCAGGACTTAGCGCATTACCTCTTTGTGCACCGATGTGGTTTTATATGTGTTATATGATTAGAAGGCACCAGTGTTGTATGTGTTCTTACGAAACTCAGGAATTGAATAGGTTATTAGCGCATATCATTAAATATTCTTGCCACTATTACCTCACCGAGATTAGTTATGATACTTGCTGAGTACATGAGGTCGGTTGTATTTATACTATACTTCTGCACCTTGTGTGCAGATCTTGGAGTTGAGCTATTGTGGAAGACGGAAGCAGGCATTGAAGATGTACCTACTTTTCGGATATAGCTACCACTTTTCCTCGGTAGTTGTGGATTCGTACTCTGTTTATGTATATTCCAAACATTTGAATTTAATTTTGTATGAGCTTTGTAAATCTAACTCTTAATGGATTATGACTTGTACTACCATGCTTGGGGTATTGTTTGGGAATTCAACTATTTTATTTATTGATTATTTATGATCTTCATTAGAATTATGTATCAGTTGTTTGGCTTACCTAGGGGGGTGGTTAGGTTCCATCACAATTAGGTGGAGTTTGGTTCGTGTCAACTTACCTCTAGCATTGTCACCTCGGTCATGTCAATGAGACAAGAATTAGTGTGTCAGACCCAACTCCCACCGGAGCCGCGACAGCGCCTAACACTACTTGCTCGGCAAGCCAATAGTCACACAACAACTGCAAAATTGATAAAACGAGGTTTAATGAACTCAACAACAGAAATACCATGAAATAACTAAAACAAAAAAACAACAATACTACTACAACCATCCAAATGATCCGGTGTCAACGAGTACATGAGCACTACTAAATATCAAAATACAAAGCAAAATCCTCAATACAATTGTCTGAACAATAGAGCAGTAACAAAGGAAATACATGAAAGAGAACTTCAAGGTCTGCGGATAACATAACAGCTACCTCATAGTCTCCCAAGTATTGGTACCAACACGGCTCTAACAATCACTTCCTCTTGAAGTACTTGGATCTAAACATATAGTGCAGAGTGTAGTATGAGTACAACCGACCCCATGTACTTAATAAGTAACATTGTGTGAAAGCAGTGACGAGCTCAAATGAAACAGTCAGAGACCAATATCAATATTAACATAGGATATAACGATGGCAGTAACAATAAATGGCTCAAAGGAATTATCATATTTAGCTAGTTCACATTACAGGAATTTAGACATGCTTCCAAGTATAACAATTACAGTCCAACATGGATAAGAACATTTCATTTACTAACTAGCATGAGGAAAATGTATCTCTATGCCTATATGTCAAATATTCATGTCAAGTACATGATTTCAAAGTGATATCCTCAAGTACTCTCACTCTTAGTGCACTCAAAGTGCCTGAAACAAATGCCCACTTCATCACACACAGAAAATCACTCAGCATTGTACGGGTGTCTGGCATCAATGCCCCTCACAAAAGCACGTGTATATATCATTGTGTTTGTGCTCATTGCTGGCATGTCAGACTATGGAGGGGCGGATCCTGCTCAAGCGCTAATCAAAAGCTAATATGGCCTATTGCAATTAACAATAAAGCCACTATGGCATGTTGCGGCGTGCAGCCCAATCCAAATAAAAACAAAGCCAATACGGCTTGTTGCGGCGTGCAACCCAATCCAAATAACACTCTCAACACAGCTCTAAGGCCCACCTCAGTCATCAACCTTTCAAGTCTCAAGGACTCATAATCTCATATCACTCAACCCAAACAGTATCACATACGAAAAATAACAACAACATGATGTAACAATAAATAAAGTACAGAGACTGAGATACGATATGCAAATGAAGAATCATGGCTGGTGTATAACTACAGTTAAGACAAATAGCTCAAAACAACATAAATAATCCCATTATGTCTTAACTAATTAATCACATAGCCTAAACATGATTTCTAACATGAACCATAGCTCATATAATCAAACAAGTGGGTAAAACACAGATATAACATGGCATGATAGTGCCGTGCCTCTTTTTCTCGTGAAATCGGGCCTCGACGTGTAATAACTCTATAAATGGGGTATTAAAAGAGAAGAGTCGCCGCCTAACGATTTTTAAGGTGCGTTAGGGCACTTCTTTGTGAATAACTCTGTTAAACTAGTCAATGCCACCAAAGATCGGGTAAGGGCTCAAATTACCTCAAAGAGAAGGTGTTAGGCACTCTTCGAGGTCCACAATTGTGGTTCCCGACCGAATTTAAAACTATGTGGGATTATTAGGTTAAGCTAGGTTGTAGGTTTCTAAGTTGTTAATTATTCCTAGGCGGTCAAGTATGCAAATCAATTAAAGGGAAATAATTACTTAAATCTAGTCTTAGAAAGAATTTAAGGTCGTGTAAGGATTGTAACGAATATTATATCATGGAAGGCTATTTAATTACATAAAAAGGGGACCAAAGTTTTTAAGCCTAATGGATCAACTCCCGTGCAAAGTCTGCTAAGACTTTTATAGCCAAGAGTGCAACGGCTATTCAGGCAATTTGTGTATCATGTCCGCTACCCTCATTACTATCTTTAAGTTGTTAACCTAAGAGCGCACTAATCAATTCTATATCGCGTCTTAATTTAAGACTACCTGCCCCTTCTTATAGTCCATGAGGCTTTGGACACTATTCTAAAGGGATGGTTTTAGACTTAAGGAAAATCTCAAGTTTCTAATTCTATTTTTATTAGCGTCACATAAAAGAGAGCATATTGGGACTTAAACAAGTAGCACATAAGACAACTAAGGGTTCATGTTGGCCTCCAAATTAATTAAATGAAATATACTATTAAGAAATGCGATTCCTTATTTAATATTCAAAGACGCATAACAGTCAACTTAAACATAGCATCTAGGTATGTGCACGAGTAGTAAAATGAGATAAATCAAATCTTATTCCAAGAAATAGTCCAGACCATTTAAATTGGAGGTACTGATCATTGAGATGAAACTAGAGTATCGTGCGTAAGCATTAAAAGGAAAAAGAAACAGTTGCCAAAATCCCAAAGATGTATTCGAGCTGGATAAAAAAAATTACTTCTTTTCAAAAAATAAGCAAATGATAATGATAATAATAATAGTGATAATAAAGTTTACCAACAAAAATAGGTTTTGCTCGTCTTCTACAAGTAGAAAAGTTTAAGCCCTCGAGATGCGTATTTGAAAGCAGTTCGTGAAGTGCCGAATTAATAAGAAAATCAGGAATCCAAATAAATAGCTCCCGCGAACAGAGTTTCAACAGCAAAATAAACCCAATAATCGTAGCGATGCACTTCGAACAACAGCCACAAGAAAGAATCTGACTATCGAGAGAAATGAAATGCAACAAACTTTGCCTCGACTTACAGCCGGCAAAGCAAGAATAGAAAAGCAACTCGTGTAACGAATCTTAATAAGAATGTTATAATGGTTGTAAATAAGTAAATCTCGGAAGTAATTCTTCCATCCCTCCCTATTGTATAGAACTAGTGGTATTTTTAGAAGTAAATTTGACTTAAGTCGTGTCACTATAATGGAAAAGAATCATTTAAATAAAGAAAGATTTAGAATATAAAAACAAGAATTCTGTCAACAAGAAATTCGAGGATTGGGGCGTGATTTGAGTATTGAAATAGGGAAGAAGAGCTGCTGGTGATTATTTTAACAGAAAAGGACTAAAATACATACCCATAATCAGTGGAATTTGAATCGAAAATCATGAGAGAAATATATGTAATTGAACTTCCAAAATTATAATCCAATCAGTAACAAATGAAACGCCTACCTCAAACCTGTCTACATTCAACTGATAAGTCCGAACCTGTGAATGGGAAATGAGTAGGTGAATCTTCAGGCGCGTCGGCGATTTTGACTAAAAATGGAGCTAATATATTGGCTCATAATTAAGGTAAAAAATCAATTGTTTTACGGATTCGATAAGGAAGATAACTAAGGAAAATAAAGTAAGAAAGGGTTGACTTGAGTTAGTCATGGTTTCTGGGAGTAAGAATTTTGAGTGAAGGGTTTTGGGTATTAATGGATTATTAGTAAAGGGATTAATGGGTTAGGGATAATCTGATGGGTTGTGAAATTTTGGGTTAGAGAAGGATGGACTTTTTCCTTCTTCTTTTATATAATTGGGCTTCTCTTCAAAATATATCTATTTGTTAAAATTCTAATAATATGTTAGCTAAAAAGAAGTAAATATTAATTATTGATCAAAGCAAGTAGACCATATGAATAAAAGCTATGTATTAAAATAAGTTGCTGAAGTATTGTGACCTATAAGTAGGAAGATGCTCAAATAAATATTTGTAAAATAAAAGTAGATTTAATGCAATGTGAATCCAAAATATATTATCATGAAAAGTATAACTTGCTTGATCAACTCTAAAAAAAACCTCGTAAATGCATGAGTGAGATGACTTTTGATAATAATAATAATAATAATAATAACAAATATAGTAGTGGTAGTAATAGTAATTAGAAGGTAATAATAAGAATAATAAGAAAATAGTAACAAGAGTAGTAATAGAGAAAATAATAAATGAATATGAAAAATTGACCTTATATTGTTATAAAATAAGTTAAAGTAACGCATTTGATATACTAATGATATAGAAGCTCAAATAAATAAATTAGAAGAAAGGAGGGATAAAATTGGATGTCAACAGCTGCCCCTCTTTGCCCGAGAATGACGAAAAAATTGTCGGGCAAAGAAATTGACATAGTAACCAATTTTGCCCGATTGATGAGATAGTTTGTGTAAGAAAAAGAGGAATAAGAATTTTGAAAATATTGTGGACAAACTCCGGTTTTCAAGTGGCCTACATATCTCGAGCTTTACGAGAATCGGGCCATGTGTAGTTCTAGATCCAAAGGCGAACAATACCTCTGAAGTCGCTAAGAAAAGTTGTATGTTTCAAAGAATGGTTTTCTTTGAGTAGGATGGTGTTGTGAATGGTTGGTGTCACAAAAGGAAAGTAAGAGCAGCAATGACATGAAGACGACCATTACGACTGCTTAAGGCAATATGATAGGGAGTCACTACAAAAAAGAAATGTTTGACTATCGGTTGGCAATTATTTAGGGTATGAAAAGAATGTGAATGTTGAACAAAAAACGGAACGAGAATTGCTCCCATTTGAAGAAAGGTTACCTTTCGTATTACCTGCAAAACTTAAAACACAACGATTGCAGAAAACATGTACACATATAGTCATAATATCATAGATGTGACTGTGAGATTCAAACATGATGCGAGTTCCCTTTGGACCATGAATGCTATCTTCGGACGATAAGAAAGATGTCCTTAGACCATGATGTCCCGGGCCATGAAACGTATAATAAAGGGATTCAAAGGCCATGAAATGGTGTCTTCAGGCCATGAGGATGATACTTTTGGACTATGATGCCTTTGAATAATAATGTCCAACTTTGAGATCTTTAGGCCGTGAAATGGTGTCCTCAGGCCATGAAAATAGTGCCTTTGGACGATGAAGCCTTTGGATAATTTGGCGATCTTTCAGCCCATGATATGTAGTATGAGGCGATCTTTCATCCATGCCGATGCAGTATGAGGTGATCTTTCAGTCATGCAATATAGTATGAAGCGATCTTTCAGCCATGCAATGCAGTAGAGGTGATCTTTTAGCCATGAAGTATGAGGCGATCGTTCAGCCATGCAATGCAGTATGAGGTGATCTTTCAGCAATGCAATACAGTATGAGGCGATCTTTCAGCCATGCAATGCAGTAGAGGTGATCTTTTAGCCATGAAGTATGAGGCGATCGTTCAGCCATGCAATGCAGTATGAGGTGATCTTTCAGCAATGCAATACAGTATGAGGCGATCTTTCAGCCATGCAATGCAATATGGGGTGATCTTTCAGCCATGCAGATGCAATATGGGGCGATCTTTCAGCAATGCAATGCAGTATAAGGCGATCTTTCAGCCATGTAATGCAATATGTGGCGATCTTTCAGCCATGCAATGCAGTATGGGGCGATCTTTCAGCCATGCAGATGCAGTATGTGGCAATCTTTCAGCCATACAATGCAATATGGGGCGATCTTTCAGCCATGCAGATGCAGTATGTGGCAATCTTTCAGCCATACAATGCAATATGGGGCGATCTTTCAGCCATGCAGATGCAATATGGGCGATCTTTCAGCCATGCAGATGTAGAATGGGGCAATCTTTCAGCCATGCAATGCAAAATGTGGCGATCTTTCAGCCATGCAATGCAGTATGGGGCGATCTTTCAGCTATGTAGATGCAGTATGGGGCAATCTTTCAGCCATGCAATGCAGTATGGGGCGATATTTCAGCCATGCAGATGCAATATGAGGCGATCTTTCAGCCATGCAGATGCAGTATGGGGTTCATCCATGCAATGCAATATGGGGCGATCTTTCAGCCATGCAGATGCAGTATGAGGCGATTGTTCAGCCATGCAATGCAGTATGGAGCGATCTTTCAGCCATGCAGATGCAGTGTAGGGCGATGTTTCAGCCATGCAATGCAATATGGGGCGATCTTTCAGCATGCAATGCAGTATGGGTCAATCTTCCAGCCATGCAATGCAGTATGGGGTGATCTTTCAGCTATGCAATGCAGTATGGGGCGATCTTTCAGCCATGCAATGAAGTATGAGGCGATCTTTCAACCATGCAGATGCAGTATGGGGCGATCTTTCAGCCATGCAATGCAGTATGGGGCAATCTTTCAGCCATACAATGCAGTATGGGGCGATCGTTCAGCCATGCAGATGCAGTATGGGGTGATATTTCAGCCATGCAATGCAGAGTTTAGACCTATGCAAGTATGTGAAGCAGTTCTTAGACTTATACACAGATGAGGGTAGTATTTAGACTTATGCATGGATGAAGACAGTGTTTAAACCTTGTGTAAGGATGGAAACAACGTTTAGCAATTCTTATTCTTACGAAATTTTTCTTCGCAATGTATATCATTGTGCAGATAGTGATTTCATCATATATCCTTTGCAAGTATTCTTGACAATGTTGTTCCTAATATTCCTCCATTCAAAGAAAATTTGTAAGTTTGAGGGAAAGGTTAATTCGTGCTTTTGGTTCCGCGTGTTGTCCTTGCTCCCGACTTTGGCCTTTGAATCCCTGGGCTTCACCTAGGTAACGTATTTGGCTAACACAAGTAATTTTGGAAACAAGTGATTTAGGAGTTATCTTTTTTTTTCAAAATAAATAAATAATAGTTTTTTTAATAAAATAAGTGACAATGCATGAGACACATACATAAAAAAAAGCTTTTGTTGAATCGTAAAATTGTGACATGTTTTGAGACACTGCAACTTCTTCATGTTCAATGAAATTTTGAGAGCTCCCTCAAAATTCTGCCCCAGTTCAGATAACTCTAGCTCTGATATGCTTTCTGGAGATGTTTTGGTGCTGTAATGCCAAATTTCTTTATGTTGAATGAAATTTTGAGGGCTCCCTCAAAATTTCTGCCCCAGTTCAGATGACTCTAGCTCTCTATGCTTTCTGGCAATGTTCTGATGTTGTAATGCCAAATTTCTTTATGAAATTTTGAGGGCTCCCTCAAAATTCCTGCCCCAGTTTCTGTCTTGAAGGGAAAATTGTATTTTTATTATAATATGACCGAACCCACAGGGCTGCCTACATATCCCCTCTTAAACGGGAATCAGGTCAAACGTAGTTCATGGTACATCAGATAGAAATACAAAAGATTGTTTCTAAATGTAATATCTTTTGACGGCGTCTGAATTGATAGGTTTTGGCCATATTTCTCCATCCATATCTGCTAGTATGAGTGCCCCTCCTGTCAGGACTCGATGAACCATATAAGGGCCTTTTCAATTTGGTGAATACTTACCTTTCGCCTCATCTTGATGCGGAAAACTCCTCTTCAAAACCAATTGCCCCGGTGTGAATTGCCTGGCCTTCACCCTTTTGTTGAATGCTTTAGCCATCCTATTCTGATAGAGTTGACCATGACATACTGCATTCATTTTTTTTCCGTCAATAAGTGCTAATTGGTCATATCTACTCTGTATCCATTCAGCATCACTCAACTCAGCGTCTTGTATAATTATCAAAGATGGTATTTCTACTTTAGCGGGTATCACACCTTCAGTACCATATAATAAAAGGTATGGTGTTTCCCCAGTGGAAGTGCGGATAGTGGTGTGATATCCCAGCAATGCAAAAGGTAGCTTCTCATGCCAATGCTTGTGGTTATTTATCATTTTGCGTAGTATCTTCTTGATGTTCTTGTTGGCGGCCTCTACAACTCCATTCATCTGAGGCCTATAAGCGGTAGAGTTACGGTGCTTGATCTTAAACTTCTCACACATAGCTTGCATCAGATCACTATTGAGGTTTGCGGCATTGTCGGTAATGATTGATTCGGGGACCCCAAATCGACATACAAGATAATCTCGGACAAAATCCGCTACAGCTTTCTTGGTGACCGACTTATATGACGTGGCTTCCATACATTTGGTAAAGTAATCAATGGCTACCAGGATGAATCTATGTCCATTAGATGCGGGGGGTTCGATGGGACCAATAACATCCATACCCCAAGCAGCAAAAGGCCAAGGCGAACATGTCACATTGAGTTTGTTGGGCGGAACTCGTATCATATCGGCATGAACTTGACATTGATGACATTTTTGTACATATCGGATGCAGTCGGTTTCCATAGTCATCCAGAAATATCCAGCTCTCAATATCTTCTTTGCCAAAGTGAAACCATTCATATGAGGTCCGCATGTTCCAGCATAGATTTCTTCAAGTAGTCTAGAGGCCTCCTTAGCGTCCACACATCTTAGTAAACATAGATCGGGGGTCCTCTTATACAATATTCCTCCACTCCCAAAGATATGATTAGCTAACCTCCGCAATGTGCGTTTCTGAACATGTGTAGTACTTTCTGGATATTCTTCCTTCTTCAAGTACTCCTTGATATCATAAAACCATGGCTTCCCATCGAACTCTTCTTCAACATGAGTACAATAGGCAGGTTGCTTGTAGATATCTATAGGTATATGATCAATATAGCTTTTATTCTGATGTTGAATCATGGATGATAATGTAGCCAAGGCATCTGCAAACTCGTTCTGAGTCCGAGGAACATGCTTGAATTCTATCTTGACAAATCTTTTGATTAAATCTTGCACACATTGTAAATAAGGCAGTATTTTTGAGCTGTTGGTAGCCCATTCTCCAAGCACTTGATGTATCAGCAAATCTGAATCTCCGATTACCAGTATTTCCTGAATGTTCATGTCGATGGCTAGCCTGAGTCCTACAATAAAAGCTTCATATTCCGCCATATTGTTGGTGCACGGGAACCTGATTAAGAGTACATCGTAAGACAATTGATGTAAGCTCAGAAATGAGATTATTTTTGAAAGTACATAAAGTAATTTAATCATGTTACCTTGGAGGTTACAAATATTTAACATCATGAATGACAAGTACCAAGAGTGTTGGAAGGCTTAGAAGCTAAACGAATTGAAAAAAATAAGTTTTGTTGAAAGTGGACAAGCGGGGAAAGTTATAACATATACTTTTGGAGTAGACTAGGGTGCTTAACATGATAAGGAGGTTATTTTATGAGTTATTTTAGTCACATGATAGTCGTGTGTTACGTTTTGAAGTCAAGCAAGTCGTGGAAGAAAAGTTGGCAAAGGTCATCACAAGTTACATTCATAATGTGCTGAATATTTGATCAAATGTAGCTGATATTTTCTTCCAATATACTTGGAATTAAGGTATGACACATATACCAAACTGAAGGTTCACAAGTCTAGGTTCCAACGCATTAAACTGTTTGTCGATACGGTATCGGAGTAGAGATATATTCGCATTTTCGCGAGACTACGCAAGCAGCTCCAATGGGACCCACTTAGGCAGTGGGTGATTCTCCAACCTTTAAAGATCGGGTCAGTGCTAATTTGGGGTAATTGTTTCTACCCAACCAAACCCTATGCTCTCCCAAAACACTCTAAAAGCAGTCTCCATTATTCTAGAGTGAAAACCAAAGAGAAAAACATAACTCCAATACTAGAGATCCCGTGGTGCTTGCTAGATCGTAGTCCTTCATCTTGCGGCTGTTTTGGAGGATTTTTCAAGTGAAGTAACCTCAGATTTTATGTTGTTCTTGTTGATTAAGGTACTAATCAGTCCCTCCCTCGTATATGTTAGAGTTTCAAGGAGAAATACAAGTGTTTATATACCAACTTGAACACAAAAGTTTATTCAAGAAGAGAATACAACTCCTATAGTGTTGTGGTGTGATTGAGGGTTGTTGTGAGATAAACCAGTTGGGTATTTCAAGTTATATCTATTTCCTAAGATAAGTAAATTATGTCCTTGGTTGTTTTAAGGTTAATCATGTGTTGGTTGAGTTGTTTGAGAGGAAATCTACAAGATAGTAATTGACATGGCATAAGGAATCATTCTCTCTTTTTATGGGCTGCGTTGAGGCTATATATATAGTTTGTTGTGGCTGAAAATTGTTATAAATAATTCAATTATATTATGGCTTCTGTTATTAAGATTATCTATGTGCTAATTAAGATGATTGAAGAAGATAACATGAAGAATAAGAGGTTGACGATAAAGGTTAAGGTGCTAGGCGTGTAGACTATTTTTGAAGATTATTCTTATGATGTTTTGGGCTGTAAATAATATGGTAAGAATAATTATGATGTTATAGATATTGTAGATAGATTCATGAAAACGTAACTAGATTCAAACTATATTTTGTTAATCATAAATCGAGCTTGCCGCTCAAAATGGTTGTTGAAGTAATCGAAGAGCTTATTGTGAATTATATTATTGTTGCTTGGGCTATTTAGTGAGTTTTAGTAACTTATGGGATGTAGTAAAAATAGGGGAGGTGCTGTCTATTTTCTTGTAGAATATTGGTTTTGAAATATGAGAGTTACAACGTTTATATGATGACGATGAAGTCGGTTTACTCTTTGTAGACGTAAGAAGATCATATTGAGCTTGGTTGACGATTGGGGAGAAGATTACAAAGCTATGTTAAGGTTATACCTTCTTTCCTTTTGACATGATTCATATGATGCAAACGAAACGAGCAAACGCGGAACTTTCACAAATGACTCTATTCTTAGAAGTACTAAGGGTGCCTATGTTCTTGATTCCCCATGTGTCCTATTATTATATCGTTTGTTCATGAGTCTCAGAAAATACATAAGTTGATAAAGTTTATTTCACGTTATTAACCGAAGGCATATTGATCTTATGACATCCCGAGAGATCTTATTGACTTACTTCTTATGCATTGCATTCATTTATACATGTACATTGACTCATGACAAGATGGCGTTATATACATGTGTATTATATGTATATGGTGTATGGGGAAAGGTTATAGCGGTATATACGCACCACCACCTTATCAGTTGGTATACATTGATGATTTCGTCCACAGAGGCCGAGATGATATGATGGGATGCCCTCAGAGGCTTGATGATGTTATGTACGTATATACCTATGCATGATATAATATTTCTACGCATATGCATGGTATTTTAAATGTTTCATGATTCACAGAGCTATTCAGACTTACAGGTTGAGTTCTTTACTCCATGTTTCTTTCATGTCTTTTATATATTGCTTTCATGCCTTACATACTCGGTACTTTATTGTACTGATGTCTATTTTGCCTGGGGATGATGCATTTCATGCCTGCAGGTCCCGATAGACAAGTTGACAGTCCTCCTAGTAGGCTATCAACTTAGCGGAAGGTGTTGGGGCACCCCACTTGCTCCAGAGTTGCATCTTTGGTCAGTATGCTTTGGACATGTATTGATTGGTATGGCGGGGCCCTGTCCCGACCTTTATGACTTTTATGTACTCTTAAAGGCTTCTAGACATATGTCATGTATATGGATGATTGTATGGCTTTGTCGGCCTATGTTTTGAGTGTACAAATGATCATTTCGATCCTATAGGCACGTATGTCACATGTATAAGTTTGTATATCATGTTGGGTCGTCCTATATCGAGTATTCCCTTATGTTTTATTCTAGTTATCTTATGACGGCCCTTCTGGCCCACTTACCCATGATGGTATGATAAGAAAGATACGTTACGTTGGTACTCAGTTGAGTAAGGCATCGGGTGCTCGTCGCAGCCCTGTGATATGGGTCGTGACATCCGATCCATCAATGGTGGTGGTGACTGAATCAGACCCCGAGAACCAGAATAACTGCTAGAAGAACCCGACACAGATGAACCTTGAACTAATGGAGCATGAGAGAAGCTTTGAGTTGGGAGGGCACTGAGAGATGACTAACCCAGGGGAGCATTGTATGAACCATGGCTAGTTGATGCACCACGATGAACCGGATGAGCCATCTAAGCGGGCATGACAGGACGACCCCTGCTGAAGTGGGACAGACCCCTAGAAGAAACACTGCTGAAACCACTCAAACCACGAGGCCTCTTGGCCTCCCTCTCCTCATGCTCCTGACTACGGACCAGCTCTAGCCGCTGAGCAATATCAACCACCTCGTCGAACCTAGTACCTGGTACATTCTCTCGAGTCATAACAAAGCACAATCTATAGTTGATACCATCGATAAACCTCCTAATCCTCTCTCTCTCTCTGTGGGAAAAAACCAGACCCCGTGACGATCCAACTTTAAAAATCTCATCTCGTACTGGGTCACGGACATGCCCTCATGGCATAGCATTTCAAATTGCCTATGCAACTCCTCCCTGCGGGTTGGTGGCACAAGCTTATGCAAGAAGAGAACGGAGAACTCGTGCCATGAAAGTAGTGCAACAATGGTTGGCCTGCTCTGCTCATAGGCCTCTCACCATCTAAAGGCTTCCCCCGATAGCTGAAAGGTAGTAAATGAGAGCCTACTAGTTTCCAGTACCACCAGCTAGGTAGTTAAAGTCAGACTCAATTGTTCTATCGCATTTGGTTTGATTGTTTTATCTCTCTTTAATTTAATTATTTGTTGTTCTTAGATCATTCGTGTTAAATTAAATCACTTGTCCTTTAAATCGCATATAAATTTAATTGTTACTTATTTTTAGGATATACAATAGAGATTGGAAGGGTAGCCTTAATCAACTACGGAAAGGACTCTGGAACACTCGTTGTTATGTCAACGTCATCGACCAAAATAGGGCTCTTGCGGATGCTCCGGACATGCTGAGGAGCCATATTAACTTCAAGAGGCTTTCACTCACAGATATCAAAATTGACATCAAAAGAATCTCAAAGAAGAAGACCTTGGTAGAGGCTACGGAAGCTGCTGATGTGAAGACCAAGTGGGAGAACAGTTCATAGAGAAGGAAGTTGAAGAGAGGGCTTGACAGGTTTAAGCTTATGTTGGCAAAGATTAAGAGGGCCGGAGTTGTGAGACAGGAACTTGCATAGCTTAAGCTTAAGAACTCTCTGATTAGTGCAATCGATATATAGGATTTTTGGATCTTGTATTTTCTTTAGCTTTGAGAGATGTTGTAAAAAAGTCTGTTCCGTTTAAAGGACTTTTATCTCTTTTATTACCCTTCCTATTGATTATGTTTGGTGGAATCCAGTCAAAAATTTATTCTTTCCTTTTTCCCCATCATAATCAATAACTTTGTTCCTATTTTAGACTCGATTTTCACCCGAAAATCACTGGATAAATATCTAAAGTGCAGAATCCCAAGGCAAAAAGAAAAAGAAAAGTCCTAGGGCAAGCTTCAATGAAGAATGACGCAGATGAAGAAAATGATTAGCAAATGAGAGCCCACTAGTAAATGAGATCCCTTTACCGTGGCCCAAGCCTCTCATGGCCCTAGCTGGTGGTACTGGTGGCCGTCCGCCCGATCTAATAGCATGTGTCCTCACCATCTGTGAGAAAATAGAATAACAAAAGTTTAGTTTCCGAAATCAACAAATTCGCACGACAAGAATACAAGAAAGTGAAGTTTTTCCTAATGGTTCGGCAACCTCTCAAAGATAAGTACAGACGTCTCCGTACCGATCCGCAAGACTCTACTAAACCTGCTCGTGAGACCTATGTAACCTAGGTTTGATGCCAACTTGTCACGATCCAAAATCTCATATGTCGTGATAGCGCTTATCGCAATACTAGACAAGCCGACAACTCACAATAATCACACCTCTTTAATTTAAAATATATCGAATTTAAGCTTAAATAATAAAAATCTCATAATAACTCGAAGAAAACACCGCATCTCAATACAAAATTCCTCGAATCTAGGTTTCACTAAGTACATGAGCATCTATACAATGACATGGTATGACTGCTGAAACACTGTCTAGGAATGTAGA